GGGGGTGTCCAAGAGGGGGGGGTGCAAATCATGACCGGCGGCACGTGCGCGGCCCAGCGGGGGGGCCAGGGACGTAATGAAACAAGAAGAGGCGCCATGAAAGCTGGGGAAATATCATGGCCCCCGCCATGATATCCACCCCCCCCTAGTCATCACCCCCCTCTTTTCCGCCCCCGACCTGCGCGGAGTGGACGCGCGCCGCGCACCGGGGCCGCGTCGCATTCCATCTGGCGCCCCCAATTGCGCACGTTCTCGCCGCGCGCCTGCCCCGCGAGTTCACTGCGAGAGCTGGATTTGAGCAGCAGGCAGATGCCGCATTCCTCGAGCTGTCGGAGCGGCGCGGCGCTTCGCACGAAACGCCGTTGACTGAACGCGAGAGACAACCTGCGCGCAAGCGCAGGCCCTGGTGCGAAAAGTCGAGAGCCCGACTGGCGTGGAGCTCGTCGACGCGCGCGCGCGACGCTGTCCGCCGCGGGCGCCGCGCCACTCCGCGACAACGCCGCGCGCGACTGCGAGCAGCAGCCGGGTCGCAGCTGATGGGCCGGAGAGCTTCACGACATCGCTTCGCGACAGAAAATGCGCCCGACAATTGAGGGGGCGACGCAGCGCCCGACGCAAGGTTGCGCCGGCGCAGAACGGCGGCCCCGGCCCATTGGCTCCGGAAGCGGGGCCCGCCACTAAAAACGCCGCGGCGCAGAACGCGATCGGCGCGGGCTGCAAGCAGGCGGACATCGCCCGCGCACACGAGCAGACGTCGTTCTACTTTGGCCGCGCGCTCCTGTTGCTGCTCATCGGGTCGGATGCGAATCGCGCCAGGCACGGCGAACGCAAGCGGTTCCGTCGCTGCGATCGCAAGGCGGCCCTGGGCCCAGATTACGAGGCGCCTGGGGCCAGACTCAGCATTCGCCGCGCGCGAGAAGGGAGTCCAACTTCCACCTGCGAGCACGGGGCCTCGAACGGCGCGCGGGGAGGACGGGCGCGCGCGGTTGGTTGCGCCCAGTAGCCTTCCCGGCCGAATCCGGGTCGAGCGTTCTGCCCCAGGCTCTGCCGCGGGCGAGCTCGTGGCTCGGGCCCGGCGCAAGCGCGTCGACGCTGGCGCGCAACTTTTTGCCCCCGCCGGGCGCTCCGGCAGAGGCCCTCTAGGCGCGGTTTTGCGGCGGCGACTCCGCTGCTACTTTGGGGCGACATGGCGGCGGGGATGCACCTGGCACGCGCCGGCTCGGCTGCCCGCGGCGCCGCGCGCGCCGGGGCGCCGCGCCTTCGCGGGGCCCAGAAGCTGGCCAGATAATGCGCTGACGAGCTGGTCGCCCTGCACCTCGCCTGAGAGGCGGGCGCTCGCGCCGCGATCATCCGCGCGCTCGCGCTGCGGCGCTCGGGGCGCGGGCATTTTCATCGCGCGCGCCCGCGGCGCAGACCGCGCAGCCCACTCGGGCAACGACGGCGCCCGCTGCGCAGACTAGCCGCGACGACTTGACAACTGCACCTGGCTCTGCCAATGCAAGCGGCGCGCCGGCGGCCGGGCGGCGCGGGCGCCCGCCGCGCGCGCCCGGAAAGGGGCCATTCGCTGGTATCGCCAGGCTCTGCCAGTGTAGACGGGGCGGCCACGCTGCGCCCGCGCCTGCGGGCGTCTGCTCATCTCCTGAGCGGGCCGGTCGCGCGGTCGACTCCGCGCGTGGGCCCTCGCGGACAGGTCCGCGTCTGCGCGACGGGCGCCCGCGGACGAAACCCGCGCCGGGGGCGGCGGGCGGGGAGAGCAGCGGGGGGGGCCCCCCCGCCCGTCGCGCCGGCGCTTCGGCGAAGCACTCCTCGCACTTGCCGCGCCGCTGGCGCCGATCGCGCGCCCGCGCCAGCCCCCCCCCCGTCGCGCGCGGGCCAGGCCCCGCCAGCTTGCGCGCCCCCGAAGAACACGGAGACGCTGAAGCACGCGCGCAGCGCGACCGCTTTGTTCGCGAGGTGGCACGAGAGGACCCTTGACCACAATGTCGTCGACTGCTCTTTCTGGTCCACGGGCGAGGAGATATTCGCGCAAAAGTTCCAGCGCGCGCCCGTTTGCGACGCCCCCGAGCCCGGCGCGCCCAGGCTGGCGGGCTGCCCTTCGACTTCAAGGGCCGCGGCGGGGCGGCCCATGCACTGGCCGCGCACGTGCAGATTCTGTCTAGGAGCTCGCCACTCCTGGAGCCGACGCCAGGGACAAACCGGACTTCAACGGGCGCCCCCTCAAGTCCGCGGTTTTGCTTTCCAAACTAATCGCACCCGCGAGGGCGCCGCCTGCAAGTCCCGATCTGCCGGCGCATCCCTCCACGAGCACGCGCGACGCGCAAGACGTCGAGGGCGCTGCCGGCCATCCGAAGGCCAACGCCGTCGCCCCAACCCCCGCCAACGGTGATCACAGGATTCTCGGCAAGAGCGCAAAGAAGCAGGATGCATCGGGAAGGACTGCCTGCAGCGCTGCCGACGCCGAGTTCACGAATGCTGGCGGGGGGAAGATTGCGGCGGGCGCCTGGCCAGGCGTCCGCGCCCGCGCCTGCTGCCGCGAGCCCCCCGACGGGGCCGACGTCGCCGCGCCCGGGCGCTCCGCTGCGGCGGAGGGCGACGAGCTGAATATTAAAACCTAGCAGTGGCGAGCGTCTGCACAACTGTCGAGCAGGTTCATCCGCCTCTTGCAAGTCTGGCCGCTTCAGGTGCCCAGGCCGAGGTGCTCGCCGCAGCCTTCGCGCAAGGCAAGGAAGTGATGGCGCTGGGCGAAGCGGTGGCGCGCCCGACGCGCGCAACGGCTTTGGCCGAGGCTGTGGCCGAGCCGAGTGCCACGACGCTTCAAATCAAACGCTGCGTTCTGGACGCACCGGTGCCGCGCGACGCGACGTGCACGCGGGACGGCCACCGGTTCCTTAAGAACTGCCGTTTTCGCGACGACGCTAGGGGGTGGGCGTGGACGTGCTCGGCCGCGCCGCCCCGGCGGTCTATGTCTGCAATGCCGCAAACCAGGTGGCCACGCAACCTCGCGCCCAGTCTCTGACAAGTGTGACGGATCGGCTGAACGTTTGTAGTGTTTTTTCTTCGGGACGGGAACGGAATGGGACGACCAAGCGTTACATCGTGGACGCGAGCACCGCGCCGCTCACCGCAGTCGCGTCGCCGACGGCCATGCGTTTGCGCCGTGGCCTCTCAGCGGTGGCTTCGGATGTCGCGCTTCCAGTGCCAGGAGGGCAGCTTTCTAGAGGGCCCGCTGGCTGGCCCGGCAGTCTACGGACATGGTCAGCAGATCATCGGCACGAGCCTGGTGCTGCTGCAAGTGCGCGGCACGGGGGCCACCAACCTGGAGCCTCTGAACAAGAGAAAGGACTCGAACGAACAGACCTTCAAGGTGTTGTCGACGACTAGGGTTTGCCTTCTCAGCGACCCACTGGCGACTGTGACTCTGGCGGGGTACTGTGACTTCAGTGGGATGCTCACGTGTCGCTTGGACAAAGATTGTGCTCCCATTCTCGCGTCGACTGTCGAATGCCAGGCGCCAGGCTCTGCCGGTGCCACCAGCTCCGCCGGCGCCGCTTGCCCGATTTCTACAATTGAGCACGTTACGGACTACTTGTCCAAGGACGAAGTAGCTTCGCTGACACGCAGTCCGGCAGTAGAGTGGCAAGCCGTCCTGACGATGTTGCCAAGACTACGGGGGATCCAGACAGCGAGCACTGGTCAGAGGAACACTAGCGAAAAATGCGGCGCCTAGTGTCCGAGCCGCTTTGCCCCGCGTCCGTCCGCCGGGGCGCTGCCTTCTCCACCACAGCTAGAACATAGGGGTGCCAGCGATAGGCTCTGCCAACACACTGTCTGATTGAGATTCGATTTTGTTCCTGCATATGACCTCGAGACCCATGAAACGCTCTCCACCGTTCGTTCTCCGGGCTCTGCCAGCGCACCTTCGCGCCCAGCTTGGGCAGCTTCCCTGCGTGGCCCTCGCAGCAATTCTCCCGCGTGGCTCTGCGGGCTTGCCGTGAGCGGGCCGAATCCGATGCCGCTTCTGCGCAGAAGGTCTGGGCGTCTCCAACAGCAACACGCAGGCGCCCACGGCACCCGGCCCTGCCAATGTTTCGGGTGCCGCCGCCGGCTCGGACCAGTGAAACATTGTGGACCAGTGCTAGGCGGCGCGAGCGCAGACAAATCATCATCACCACACTCAGACGCACAATCGAAGTCAGCAGTCGACCGTCACGTGCATCATCGCCATCACGAACACAATCACAAGCAGCACCACCACAATCACACCGCGGTTGCTCTGTTCAACCGGGCGTCCACATGAAGCCCCGATCGGTGTCCAGAGGGTGTGCTCATGGCGCCCCGATGGTGCCCAATGCCATGCTCGTCTGCGACGCATTTTTTATATATTTTTTAAAAACAAAAAAAAACTTGCGCATGGTGGCATGGCGACCTCACGCCGTGGCTTGCGCGGGCAGCCAGCGCGGCACGCAACACTGGAAACGAAAGGTGCTTGCGCGCGACCTTGCGCGGGTAGCCTGCGCGCCATTTGCCCTACGGCAAGTCCTCCTCCCCTAGCGTCGGAGCCTCCGTCGCCCAGAGAGCGTTGACTTCTCTCTCATGAGCGATCATAATCACCATGTCCATCACCGCTATCGTCACCACACTCATCCTGAACTCGATCACCATCACCCAGCATCGGAGGTGGCATTCACTTGCTCGCGATGGCGGTGGGGGCGCAATCTCTGGTGTGAGCGCGGCATCGCGGGTGAGTCGTGCTGCGTGCGCTTACTTTGCACCGCCACCATCCCAATCGCCACCATGCATTCTCACCAGCATCGTCATTGCGCATCGTCACCAAGTCGTGAGCGCATCACCAGCATCGTCCCATTCATAATCACCGCAATTGTCATCAATTGGTTCCTCCCCCGAAGCCTCCGTATCACCCGAAGGGTGGCGGTACGGCACGGACAAGGGCGAGGCGAGGATGAGGAGGGCTGAGGAGGAGGAGAAGCCGCGTGGCTGGCCTGCATGTGGCGGACCTCGTTCCCCTGATTGGTGCGGGCCTCTCAGGGGAGCCGGAGGCAACAGAAGTCATCAGACTTGCCCCCCCCTCCCCACCCCCGCCCCCCCTCCCCCTCAGCGACGAGGAGGAGGGGGATGGGGAGGGCGAGGAGGACAACGAGGGAGGATCAGGAGGAGGAGGACGACGACGACGTCGACAGCGAGAGAAGAGGCTGAGGAGGAGCACGTGCGAGCAGGGCGAGGTAGAGGAGGAGAAGGAAGAGAAGAAGATGGAGAAGAAGAAGAAGAATACGAAGAAAAAGGAAGACACAGAAGGAGGACGAAGGAGGACGAAGAAGGAGGACGAAGGAGGAGGAGGAGGAGGAGGAGAAGGAGACGGAGGGGGAGGAGGATGACGACGACGAGAAATGGGGACGACCAGCACAAAAGCTCGACTTCAGGGCACAGTCAGACGGTGCCAGAAAAGGCTACTCCAGATCTCGTAATAAAAGGGAGGGGTCTGGACCCTCCAAGACGAGCCATATCAGACCCCCCCCCCCTGTGGGAGAACCCTCCAAAACATCGTCCCCGGACCCCCCCAGGCCCTCCAAGATAGCCTGGAAGAGACCCCCCCCGAAATGAGACCCCCTCCCTTTATTACGAAATCTGGAGTACTGCATGGTACGCCTGCACCCGTTGATGAGCCTATGATGGCTCTACAGCCACCATGCTGCCACGAGGAGCGCCAAGGTAAGGAACGCAGGGGCTCTTCTGGCCACGGCGAGCCTCGGCCACGAGTACTCCAGCTTTCGTAATAAAAGGGAGGGGGTCTGGACCCTCCAGGACGAGCCATTTCAGACCCCCCCCCGTGGGAGAACCCTCCAAAACATCGTCCCCGGACCCCCCCAGGCCCTCCAAGATAGCCTGGAAGAGACCCCCCCCGAAATGAGACCCCCTCCCTTGGGGGGCGGAAAGATACGGATACGTGTTGTCCCCGGACCTCTCTTGGGGCGCGTTCTGACCAGAATTTCGAGGCGAATCCAGCGGTGACAACGAGGATTCCCCAGGAGGACCAGGAAAGGCCGAAAACGAAGGGGGACAACACGTATCCGTATCTTTTTTTCCCCCGACCTCCCTTTTATTACGAAATCTGGAGTGGGTTCCCTCACCTGGATCCGAAGCCCAGGGGGGCGGCCCGAAGATCGGAGCCCGTCCTGCGCCCGAGGTGGACCTTGTTGCGACGCCCTCGCTGCGGGCCAAGCAGGGTAAGACAAGGCCGCGACGAGGATAACTTCGGGTGAGGGTACATCGAGTGAGGATACAAAGTCTGAGATCCAGCGGATCTGGAGGGTGTCTCGGGCGACGCGGCCTTCTCAGAGCGTTCCGGCACGCTCTGAGAGCGTTCTGGAACGCTCTGGAACGGATTTATCCTCGTCCTAGCCCCGCCCGACCTCCTCCTCCTCCTCCTCCTCCTCCTCCTCCTCCTCCTCCTCCTCCTCCTCCTCCCGTCCGACAGGCTGCGGGCTCACAGGACGCCGGAGCCGAAAACGAGGGGAGACGAGGGGTCCCTCCGACCGCCCGCCCAGAGGCACCGAGGTCCCCGAGGAACCGAGGCGCCGCCCCAGCGCCCCGAGGGGCCGGGCCTCCCCGGAAGGCTCCGAGGGCCTCCCGGCCTTCTGAGCAGCTCTCCGAGCCTGCTCCGAAGCCCCGCCGCCATCTAAGAAGGCCTGCCCCGCTCATGTTCCCCCTCGGCGCGCCGCCGATACATGTATGGATTTACATAGATACCTACCTACCTACCTACCGACCGACCTGCCTACCTACCAACAAACCCACCCACCAACCCACCCACCAACCAACCCAGCCCCCTACCTACCGACCTACCTACCTACATACAGACCTACGTACTTACATACCTACACACATGCATACACACAGGCATACATACATGCATGCACACATGCGTGCAAACTTGCATACACACACACTTGCAGACACACAAGCAACCATACATGCAGAATTGCATGCATAGATGCATGCATACATGCATACATGCATACATGCATACATGCATGCATATATGCATACATGCATACACGCATACATGCATACATGCATACATGCATACATGCATACATTCATACATGCATACATGCATACATGCATACATATAGGCGGCATACGCACAAAACACGCATACCTAAATACACACACCTGCCTACCGGCCTACATACACACATGCATACATGCAAGCCTACATACAACTGTGCATACATGCACACATACGCAAATGCATACATACATACATGTATGCATACATGCAGGCAGGCACACATATATATATATATATATATATGTATATAGATATGTATGCGTGTGTGTGTGCAAATGTATGTGTGTACATGTGCACAGTATATGAGTATACGTCTACACATACGTACCCACGCACACATACACACATACATGCATACATCAGTGCATGCATACGCAAACATACGCACGTGCATATATGCATACACACGTATACATACATATATATATATATGCATCCATACATGCATGCATACATACATTTATACATACGTATACACGCATGTACCCACTGTATTGCAACCATACGTATGTACATACATACGTACATACAAACGTACGTACATACATACATGCTCACGCATGCACACAAACGTACATGCATACATACATCCATGCATACATGCATGGATGCATGCGTACATACATATATGTATATATGTCGGCGGTGCCCGGTGCGGAGCGAACCCCCCCCCCGGTAATCTCTCCTGGGGGGTTTCGAGCTGGCGCCATTCCCGGTGCGAGCCTGCACGAAACCCCCCGGTAAACACGACCTCCTCTGGTAGGCTGCACGAAACCCCCGGTAAGGACGCAACCCCTCCGTAAGCGGCGCGCTCCCAGCACGCGCGAAACCCAGCCCCGACGCGCGAATCTTACCAGGACGGGCCGGAACACGGCGGCGGCATTGCATCCCAGGGCCGTGGCGGAACACGGCGGCACTGTTCTTCTCTACGCGGCCGTGCCGTCGACCCCCCACAGCGGCTCTCGGGAGTTGCGCCGCAGCCTCTCGTATTGTGGCCACGAGCCACAATACGAGAGGCTGCGGCGGAACAAAGGCGAGCAGACGCGAATAGAGAACACAAGGCGAGCACACGCCACACTTCGACAGGGAGCCACCCTTCCCAACCGCCCCCCTGCCCCCCCCCCCAACCCACCCCCCACTCCCACCCCCCCACTCCCACAGGGGGGGGGGGGAGCCCAGGTAGACGCAGTGCGGCCTGCACGAACCCCCCCGGTAAAGCGGCAAGGGGGGGGTGTTCTAAGCCGCTGGCGGCACCCGGTGCGGGCTGCACGAAACCCCCCGGTAGTGCACGAACCCCCCCGGTAGTGCTGGGGGGGGGGTTCGTGCCACGGCGCACCGCCGACATATATACATACAAATGCATTCATCTATACATATACATATACATATACGTGTGCATATGCATGTGTATCTATATACATATACATATACGTGCATGCGTGCATGGATACATACATGCATATAACCATACATACATGCATGCATGCATGCATGCATGCATGCATACATACATACATACATACATACATACATACATACATACATACATACATACATACGCATACATGCATACATACGTACGTATCTACATGCATACATAGATGCATACACGCAGACCTGCATACCTGCATACACGCATACATGCATCCATACAGATGCGCCTTCCTAGAAGGCCTGCCCCTCTCAGTTCCCCCCTCGGCGCGCCGCCGACATAGAAGACTTGAGTTAATGGACGTCCGCGCATGGACAAGAGATCGTGCCCCACACCCCTGGGGGCACGCCCCGCCCGAGGTGGCTCGCACAAGAAATGCTCGACCCGAGCCCACCACGGAGAGGTGGGGGGGAGGGACTTTCTTGGGTGAGGGGGGAGGGGGCTCTCTGGGCATGGAGACGAAAAAACCCACGGACAATGAGGAGGCGGGAGGAGAAAGGATGAGGAAGATTGGTTTGGGGGGAGGTGTTGGGGAGGAGGAGGAGGAGGAAAAGGAGGAGGAGGAGAAGGAGGAGAAGGAGGGGGAGAAGAAGGAGAAGGAGGAGGAGAAGAAGGGAGAGGAGGGAGAGGAGGGAGAGGAGGGGGAGGAGGGAGAGGAGGAGAAGGAGGAGGGGAGGCAGAGGACGACGACTGCCGAGCATCACCACGCACCACCGTTGGCCCCACCTGCCGCGAGCCTCGCCGCGTACGTTCGCCCTAGCCGCGATCAGCTGCCCGATCACCAGCGCGGACTGGGCGAAGAGCTGCGACTCGCCGCGCCGCGACCACGAGGACTCAGAGCGTGAATTACCTCCCCCGCTTTCGCTTCCAGGCAAAACCAAGTCATACCACGCGCCTCCTCGTCAAGCGGCCTGACCAGTACAGGGTGTGCAATTTGGCATCGTTTGGTATCCCTTGGAAGCGAGGGTGGTCAAAAGCGAGGGAGGTTTGTTTCCCCCGAAGGACGCCTGCCCCGAGGACGCGGGCGACGCCAGACCCTGCGGAGTCGACGCGCGCGAGTCGGGAGGCGTCGTCGGCGCGCGCGAGTCGACGTGCGGTGACCGGCGCCCGGTGTGGGCAGGGCGCACCCACACGGAGGACCCCCGCCCGCTGGACAAGTCGAAGACGACGGCGGCGTGCATCGGCTGGCAGGTCACCTGGGCGACGATCGGAGAGGGCACAGCGACCTTGCGCGCGGCCTACGCGGGCCGCCAGCGCGACACGCTGCATTGGATATAAGAGGACAATGACGTGCGACCTTTCGCAGGACGCCTGCGCGCCAATGTCGGTGAAGGCGGCGCCGTTTTTCTAAGTCGCTCACCTTGCGGCCCTTGTATGTGACGGCCGCAGCGGCCCTGGGGGGGACAGGGGACAGGCACCCATGCCGCTGCTCCACGAATCCCACCAGCCCTCTGGGCGTAGGTGGTCTAGAGCAGATCCTCTTCCACCCCTCCCTCTTCCCCCTTGGGGAGGGGTTTACCCCTCCCCCTACCCCCTCCCCTGGACCTGGACGGGGGGGGCCGCGGGTAGTTAGAGCGTCCAAGATGGCCCAAGACGGCTCCAAGAGCGCCTCAGAGAACCCAAGATGAGCTCCAAGATGGCTCAAGATAGCGCAAGATCGCTCACGATGGCTCCTAAGATGGTTCCAAGAAGCCCAAAGACGGCCCCAAGATAACTCCAAGTGGCCAAACAGCTCCCCAAGGAGGCCCCGAAGAGGCCAAAATCGTCCCAAAACCTAAGGAAAATCAATGATTTTTGCTTTCTCGCCTTTTCGCTTCCGATGGCCATCCGAGGCCTGGAGATGGCTCCAAGATGGCCCAAGAGGGCCCCAAGAGAGCCCCAAAAGAGCCCCAAGACGGCCCCAAGAGCGCCCAAGAGCACTCCAAGAGCGTTCCAAGAGGGGTCCAAGAGGCGATTTTAGGGGCTTCCGAGGGGGGACGCTAATTAAACCCCCCCTCTTGTTTGATCGACTCCCTCCAAGATGGCCCCAAAAGCGCCCCGAAGGCTCCCCAGAGCGCCTCAAGAGGGTCCCAAGAGGCGCCCAAGATGCCCCAAGGCGCCCAAAAAGCCCTCCAAGAGGCCCTCAAAAGACCCCCAAGAAGCTCCTTCCCCTCCTCCTCCTCCTCCTCCGATTCTTCCTCCTTCTCCGTCCTCCTCCTCCTCCTCCTCCTCCTCCTCTTCCCCCTCCTCCTCCTCCTCCTCCTCCGACGACGACGACGACGACGACTCCTCTTCCATCCTCCCCCTCTCGGGGTCTGTGACAGCTTCCCCCGCCCTTTGTTATTCTGCATGCTCCCCGACTTCCCTGATCACCTCAACTCCCCTGAGCATCGTTTCTGGATGGGCTGGTGGGGATACGCGAAGCGTCAACAATTTCTCTCAGGGTGCGTTCTGAGCAGAGTTTCGGAGCGAATACAGCCCTGGTGAAGGGAACAACAAACATGAACGAGGTAAGGGCAACAATATCCCTGATATCCGACGCTGCCAAAAAATGCAACACTTCGTGAAAACCACTAGAAGAGCACGAGGCCCAATGTTTGTGCGCCATTTCTCGAGCCCGATCGATGGTTGAGGGCTCCCTGGGCCCGAAACCGAGAGAAAACACCTGGCGTGAATTCGTGGCAGGGCTGGGATCTCACTCAGGGACTCTCCAGGACTCCAGGACGAGCAACGGCATCGGTACCCTCATGTCGGGCGTGTCCCCCTACAGGGGGAGTTTCGACGAAAAATGAAAAATACCCCAAAAATACCCCCAAAAAGGTAACAAAAAAAAAAATCCCCCTACTATTTCCTGCACTGAGCTCCCTTGTGGCATCTCCACGTCGACGTCGACCGCCGGGTCCCCGAGCGCGTCTGCGACCCCCTTCTGGTCGAGCTGCCGGGCACAGGTCCTGGCGCACTGGCGCACGGACAACACACACACACACACACCCATACCCATAGGGGGGTCGGCGGGAGGAGAACTTGCTGCGGCAGGTTCGTGTCGTGTCGACCCCGGCGTGGGTTCCCGACACCTCGGGGATCAGTCAACCTGGAACGATCGGCCATCTCAGAAACGTCCAAATCGTTCCACATCGAAGGATTCTGGGTCGCCCGCGGCGTTCCAGGTTGAACGCCACTGGCAGGGTCGCCGCCGGTCGGCACGACACGAAGCTACCGTATGGGTATGGGTGCGGGTTGTCGGACCGCAGGGGAGGCGCCCGTTCGAGCGGGGACCCCTGTCCGACAGCACGCACCCCTAGGCCCACTCTCCGTCCTCCGCAGGGGTGCGGGGGGTGCGTGTTGCTCGCCCGTCGGGTCCAGAGGCGGAGGTTCACCCCGCTCGGCTCGTCCGGCTCGCTGGGCGCCTGGCCCTCGGGGGTCCCTCCCGTCGCCGACGCGAACCTGCGAGGAGGGTCCACGGCGCAAGCACTCAGCGGCGCCAACCCATGAGATCGAAGATAGACAGGACACCCACTTGCAAAACGCCCTTTGGTCGGGGATGGACAGAACCCCCTTTAGTAAAACGTGGTTTAGTGAAAACGACCTCGGACCCAACCCTGGCGGGCGCAAGCCTGGAAAATGACGGCCGCGGCGCCCTCTCGAGAACCGAAAACGGACAATTCACTAATCGACGTGTCAGGGTGGGGGTTCTGTCCACCCCCGATTTGGTGGGACAGCTAATGGACGTCCAGAAACAAACGGACGTGTCCGGCGACAGGCACGTCAATCAGCGAAACCGACTGGGGACTGCACCAGGTCGAGTGAACCAGCGCAGATTTCCCCAGTCGACTTGTTTGGACGGGCCTTCTCTCAATGCCCGAGAAGATCTGCGCGTGGCAATCTTTCCACGACTGGCATCTTCGACAGGTTTCGGGACCTGGATCCCTCACACATCGATCCAGCTCCAACAGTGCAGCAGCAAAAATGGGTCTGGGGCACCGGTTGAGACTTTTTGCGATGCTTCAGTTCGTAACCGCGGATCTCGGGGACGGAGGAGGAGGACCTAGACCTCCTCTCGATGATCACGACGGATGACTTTGGCTAATTTTCGGTCTCGGGGGGCCCTCACCGGGCCTCAGGACCCGTCGAAAAAACGGCTCGGGATCAGACACCGGTCCCAGGGAACAGGCCCAGCTCTCCGATCGGCCCACGTTGCAATTACGACGTCCGCTGCCTCGGGAGGAGGAGGCCGGAACCGCGGCCGGGGGGTCTGAACTGGTGGAACCCAGAAAAACGGTCAGGAGGGGGGGGGGACAAGGCAAATCTCGCTCCAAATCAAGCCCCGGATCCCTCCCGGAATCAGTCCCGTGCAGCATGTCGCCCTGGAGCGCATTTTCACCATCCCGAGCCCCGAGATCTGCTCCCGGCCGGGGTCCTAAAAAGGCGAAACAGCTTCCCGCACCCAGAACCTCGAACATGCTGAGCATCGTTTATCCGATCCCTATCCCCAGCGGCGTGGCCTGGGCCCCACTGGCCGATTTACCCCCCTTGATGGGGATATAGGCCGTTCCCTTCGGGTTTCGAGGGGGGTATCCCCAACTAGGGGGGTAATTTGGTGTGGGTCTCGGAGGGGATGGGGATGGGGATGGGGGTCGGTTAAACGATACTGACATGCCCGCCCTTCCTGCAAGCCAGAGAACCAGCCGCTGATGGGAGCAGCGGGTCTGATGGTGTTCTGGTGCTGCACGCGGGCCGTCCTTGATGGGAGGGCGCCAAGCATCCGCGCACGCCGACCACGGCTGGACCCATAGCACAGCCATCGTGCAGCAGCAGGGAACGCAGGAACGCTGAATCAGTACGCGAAGGAGATATGCTTGAAACGGCGAGCCCAGGCCACTGACAGGTTGCCAGACCCAGATATCGGTCCCTATGTCGACGCATTAGCTGTAGTGGCCGCCTAGATTAGGTCGGCGGATCGAGCCTCATCGCCAATGCATCAACGATGAATCGGCGATGCGCCAGTGACGGCGAAAATACATCGGTGCCGTCGGCGTGGAGAACATCGGGGCCCATGTCGAGCTGCATCGGCAGTGCATCGGAGATGCGGCGCGATTTCCTAGCCCAAACTGATCGGACCCCATCTGGAAGACCTATGGAGGGCTCGTTTTCCACCACCACCACCACCACCACCACCACCACCACCACCACCACCATAAGTAGGAGGCGGAGGGGGTCCTCCCTCTCCTCCTGCTCCTCCTCCTCCTCCTCTTCCTCCTCCTCCTCCTCCTCTTCCTCCTCCTCCTCCTCCTCCTCCTCGTCCTCCTCCTCCTCCTCAGCCTCCTCCCCCCTCCAACTCATGGTGATGGTGGTGGAAAACAGGCCCATGAACCTAGACATCCTGAGCCTAGGAGTTTGTGGTTAACGCCGCCCTGTCAAAGCAAGAGGACACACTCGCCAACCCTGGGCCCCCTGCACAAGCAATGCGGTTTCTCTCTGTCCCCAGAAAGGCGCCTCCTCCTCCTCCTCCTCTTCCTCCTCCTCCTCCTCCTGGCCCACCCCTCCTCCTCCTCCCCCTCCTCCTCCTCCCCCTCCTCCTCTTCCTCCTCCTCCTCGCCCTCGCCCTCCTCAAGCAACGAGCCCGAGTTCGCATCTTGCACGGGGCGCTCGGTCCACCCCGCCCCCTCCACGTGGGGCTTGAGGGACATCGCGCTTCCCGCTCCCCGTGAGCAGTCAGCCGCGATGACAAAGGCGGGGAAATCCGCCGATCTGGCGTGTGAGTTTCTGAGAGCGTGGACTTGAGCTCGCTCAAGCTTCGCTCTGGCGGGGGGGGGGGGCACGATATGCCCGACATCATTTCCGACGTTTTTCGGTGCACGGGGATATTTCCGACGTCATTTCCGATGTTTTCGGTGCCCGGGGACATTGGGAAAAGACACTCCACTTCCGGAGCCCCGACCGCCCAAGACAGCCCAAGAGGAAGCCAAGAGAGGCCCCAGAGGCCCCCTAGACAATGCAAAAGGGCCCCGAATCGCCGAAACATCGCTCGAACCGCCCAAGATGCCCCGAAGACAGTTCCAGAAACCTCCAAGACGCCCCCAGGATCCCTCACGACACTTCCCAAGAATGCCCAAAAAACTGACAAATAGACCCATTCCCTTAGGAAAACGCCTATTTTTGGCATCTTGGACCTTCACAGTGTCCAAGACGGCCCTACAGCTCCCTAAGACACGCCAACAAGCCCCCAAGAGGGCTCCAAGACGGCCCCCGAAGGGCCCAAGACGGCCCAGGAACGCCACAAGACGACCCAAGTCCAGAGCCCAGACCGCACAAGACGGCCCAAGAAAAAGCCAAGAGACGCCCAAAAGGCCCCCTAGACGGTCCAAGAGGGCCCCGACTCGCCGAAACATCGCTCCAAGCCGCCCAAGATGCCCCCAAGACGGCTCCAGAAGCCTCCAAGACGCCCCCAAAATCCCCATCATCATCTCGCTCCCACCCCCCCCGGATCGGCGGCACTGGCCGGAGGCCATCCCAATATGAAAAGGCTACGGCTCCCAGGGCGCGGTCGACATGCGCAGGCTGCGGCCGCCATGGATACAATGATGCCCCCCAGGGCCAAGCCTGCAAGTGTCGGGGCTGCAACAGACCAGTGAAGTTGCACAAGCCCAAGAGTCCAGAGCAGCAGTCAGTCCACCGCGGGCAGGATGGTCGAGGAGAAGCATCACCATCGGCACCCCCTCGAGGGGGAAGCGGTGGAATTTTGTTGAGGATGTTCTGTTTCCTCTGAACATATCGCGATGCGATCGCAGTGCCTGATTGCGCGACCTGACAAGCTGGGGCGTCGACCTAGCCAATGCAATCTCAAAGTGCCGACGGCCTGGAAGCGGCAAATGCCCGCACCTGGGCGCCGAAGACGATGTCATGCTTCAAGCATGACATCGTCCTCAGCGCCCCGCCCCCCGCAGGTGCGCCGACGCTCGAGCCCCTCCCGGCGCAGGCGCTCGCGGCGACCTCCGACCCCGAGGCCACGCGGGCCCCGGCGGGGCAGGCGGCGCGCGCGGCGCAGGCGACCAAGCCAGCGCAGCGGCCGGCTTCCCAGACCCCCGACGTAATGAATTTTTCGTTACGTCGACCCCAGAGTTCTCGACCCCTTCCCCAGGACCGGCTTGTCATCCTGAGTCGTTTTTTGACGCTCCCGAGGCCTGGTGAGGGCCCCCAGAGGCCGAAAACTAGGAAAAACCTCCCGTCATGATTTTTTCATTACTCGAGGGGGTCTGGGTTCCTCGGCGGAGGACGCCGCGAAGAAGACGGCGGGCGCTCGGCGCGACGCCAGCGCCAGGCCCGACCAGGCGGTCAGCCAGGCGGCGCGGCGCAGGGAGAAAAACTGCGCAGGGCCGAGCTCGAGGAGCAGGAGATGGCCGAGCACCTGGCGGAGGCGGAGCTCCAACGGCGCCTGGCGGCCCAGGCCCAGGCCCGGCAGGAGGCCGCGGGCGGCGAGGTCAGCAGCTCCGCCACAGCCGGCGCGAAGCAGCCTGACGAGAGGTCCGAGCTCATCGAGCTGCACTGGGACCTCACGTTCTTCAAGGAGCTGAGGGAGCTGGACTGAGACCAGGCCGAGCCCGAGAAGCTCGACAAGTTTGAGAAGGAGCTGCGAGAGGCGAAGGGCAACCTCACGCAGCGGTCTGCCGAGCTGGCGCCCTGGCAAGGAGGCGCCGGCGATCCAGGCGGCGGCGCAGGACCGCGCGAAGAAGGACCGGCGCGTTGGCGAGGAGGCCGAGGAGGGCGCAGCAGCCCCGGCGGCGCCTGCGCCCGCAGCCGCGGCGGCGCCCACCGGGCCCACGGCCGAGGCGATCGCGGCTGAGGCGGCCAGGATCTCGGCAGCCAAGATCGCAGCGGCCACGGCGGCGCAGGAGGCGCGGGCCCAAGCGGCAGCGGGCCAGGCGGCCGCGGGCCCTCCGTGAGACCAGGCGGCGGGCCGCGCTGCCAGCGCTGCCCCAGCGCCTTCGCCGCCCGCCGCTGCGACGCTGCAGGGCGATTCAGTTTCAGATAGTTGCGAGGGGGTGAGTAAGCTGTTCTTTGCCAATGTCACGCGCTTAGGTCAAAGAGCTGGGGATTTTCTCACCAGTCAGCAACGCCTCCAAGAAGGCGCTTACTGTGGGGTAATTGAATATCATATCTGCACCCGCCCTCGGGATGAGTGGATCGCCAAGGCGCGCAGGCTGAAGCTCAAGCACATTGACAATGGTGCTCGTCCATCTGGGAGAAGCAAAACGTCAGCAGCTCGAGTCCGAGGGAACGAAAGAGGGAAACTCGTTCTTGCTCAGGCCCATCGCTATCTTCTTCGTCTTTTCGAGTCCGCCAAAGAGGTGCCTCACCTGTGCGCGGACGGCCACGAGCAGCTCGGAGGTTTCCTTCCCGTGGTCTTGCACCAGCAGGGCTTCAGCTTCATCGTGGTACTCTTTTACGGTCACCCCATCGGTCGGTTTCAACGGCAGCAACACCCAGCGGCATGCCCGCCTCGGATCGTTCCTACGAGCGCTTCAAATACCTTGGATGGTTGTGGGCGGCTAGAACATCGATGTGGATATTGTTCGGCGCTCTAGATTTCATCAGAAAAATCCAGGGTCACATAGTGAAGGCCCCCGTGCAGCATACGCAGGTGGGCGACAACGGCGACCCCCATCTCGATGTCATAGTTGCTAGTGCCGCCTGCCTCCCATGCATCGTCAGTACTTCTGCCATCCAGGATGTTTCATGGGCCCCTCATTGTGGCCTCGCAAGCTGCCTTCGTAATTCTGGACAGCAGATGATAGCTCGTGGCATGCCAGTTGCTCTGCGTTTGCCTCAGATGCCCAGGCCCACTAGAGTTGCTCAGTATGATTCCACTTCCAGTCTGTCGGGGGCTCAGCAGGCTCCTCGAATTGCGTCGGCCCGCGAAAAAAAGACGCGAGGCTTGCGCACCCGGGTCGACGTCGACGGCCCTCGGCGACTGACGGCGGTGGCGACGGGGAGGAGTTTTTCGGTTATGATCCTGATTTGTTCAGCTCGGGGACCCCTGGCGATGAGGAGGAGGACCCGTGGGCCGACGATACTTGTTTCAGACCTGCTTTGGCTCTTGTTCAGTCTGCGAGCTTCGAGGCAGGAGAAGCTGTTTCACCCCCGTGCACTCCGGAGAAGGGCAGCGAAATTGGCGGCATTTCGGGGGGGGGCCGGGCCGACCCCAGCGATGGCACCACGCAGGACCCTCAAGTAGGAAACGTCATGGGCGCCCGTCCAACTCCGACTGTTGATGCCCCTGCTGCCTCGCCTCTCCCCTCTTTTGCTATGCCGTCGCCCCTTTGGCTCAAACACCAGCGCCAAGTTGGTCGGGTAACACAGTCTCTTGATGGTGTTTGGCCTGCGATTCGCTCGTCTCTGGCCTCCACAGTGGGTGGACCCCGCGTCCGGCTATCAGTGGCAAGTTCGCTGCTTGGGTCGAAATCGTGGAGCGGAGCCTCAGCGATCACCATGGAGTCGCAGCGCCTGCGATCTCGAGGGCGACAAGACCACGCCAGGAGAAGGGGCCAGTCCGATCTGCCGCACACATTCGAGATCAACCCCTTCGTGATGTTCATGCTTCGTGGTGGGCTCGCGCTCACACTATTGTTCAGCGCGTCGAACGGCATCGCTGATGCAACAACGGCACCGTGCAGGCACGGCAGCTGGCAGAGGACGCTCGGCGGCTGGCAGCTGCTTTGCCCGAAGGGGCGCACGCCAGTTT